GTGTGTGTGTGTGTGTGTGTGTGTGTGTGTGTGTGTGTGTGTGTGTGTGGTCTTCTACTGGAATTCAAATGTGTACTACTGAAAAGTGAGTGCTATTGATTTAAACGGAAACCTGAACATTAAAGAAGAGAGCAGATAGAAAATCCATTTAGTGTGGCAGAGCCCATTAGTATTATCTTTCTGTTCTTCCTGTACAGCAAGTCATATGTTTAACTTACCCCAGAAAAACGCCTTCCTCCCATTCTTTCCAATTTCTTATAAGAGAAAATTTTAGTTGCTTCAGTGCCTTGTGATTGCTCTTCTCAGCCAATGCATTGAGTAGCTCTTCAGGTGCATACAGAATTCTAACCCCAAGTTTTCATTTTTATTTTCTCAAAAATACATGCTTCAGTCACATATATTAATCTTGATTTTAGCCTCCTCCCACAAATAGAAAAATAAATGAAAATAAGGAACAACCAGCGTACGATTCAAAAGACCTAGTAGGAAAGCTAAAACACTGGAACGGAATCGGGCCAATGGCTATAGCAAGGGGTATGGAATATTACTAAAGGAAAATCCATCTTCTCTTTAGGTGAAGTTGCTTGCCATACTGATTTCAGGGAACCCAACCTGAAAGCACATGAGTTTTGAGTGACAACCATCAGGTTTCATAGCTTAGCATCAGCTTTTGAGCTGTGCAACCCTCTGAAATCAGAGAGAAGGCAAATCCTTTCTGCCTTCTCTCGCTAATAAAATGGAGATGATCTGGTGTAAATTGCTAGGGAAAGTGGAGCAAGACGGGAATTAATGGTACCTGAAACAGGCATATCATCTGTGGGTCCATTTTTAGTAGTTATTTGGATCTGGTGTGGAGAATAAGGTGCAACCATTCTCATTGAGGTCTTTGGAATTCAGCAATGAGGGTCTGGAGAAAGCACAGCCATGGACGGGGGTCTGGAAAAAGCATGAAAACCCGGCTGCAAATCTGGCCTTGCCTGGTGGGAATGGAGTCTGGTCTGAGGGCGCCTGGTTCTACACAGCATGAGCTCATCATCTCTTGCAAGAGTGACTACCATTTTATTCAGTTTAGCTACAGCCAAATTTAGAAGATTTTCATGGACATTCTGCTTCCCTTTCCATGCAGCCTGGCTATAGCTTCATATCACCCTGCTGCTCCTCAAAGACCCTGTGCCCCACCCCCTCCCCCAGTGAACCGATAGGGCAATCAGACATACTGATATTTAGTTCCCAGAAAGCATACAAATGAAGTGTACGTTATGATGAATTTGGGGTGCA